CTGTCTCTCTCTCTCTCACACACACACACACACACCCTTACCTATTGATAATTCCAAAAGGAAAAGTGGGCTACTTCATTGGGATGTGTGTCCTGGGTATCAAGCACTGCTCTGAACGCCCTTGTGTTTAATTTCTCATTTAGACAATTAGCACATTATGTTTGAAGGAATTGACCATAATTCCTATTTTATAAATGGAGTAGCTTAAGTTCCAATTATTTTAATTAATTTATTATACTTACACTAATAATAAAAATCATTCGTGTGATTTGATTACAGATTTACTGATTCTTCACATTTTACCATGTTCATTTCAATGAGATTTGTTTGCATTTTTCCTGAGGTGTTTGTTTTCTCTTTCTGTTATAGTCATTAAGATGACTATATTCATTATCAGTGGCAATCTTAGTTGGAATGAGACAAGGAGTGGATAAATTCAGCAGCTAATTTCTCCAAATGAGTTCTAAAGGTAGGGACTACTCTGTGAGTGTTAAAATGCTGTCATACTAAAGTTCTTAGGTGGCCTTGGGTTTGTTGGCAATCATCTAGGGAGAGCTTGTCAAACCGTTCTCCTCATTGCAAAAAGCAGGAAATATGACTGGGGCATTCTTCCATCCTTTTGTGCTCTACAGCCTACTTGTAATCCTACTGTCAATTTCTTTTCCATCCCAACCATCCATCATCATTCACCATTTTCTCTGGTGCCCATCAGCAGGCCTTCCCAGCTGAGATTAGACTGCAAGCATAATGAATGAAGGCAAGAGTTGTCCCTGTCTGATCAGCGCATGTTTCAGAATTTGAGCAGCTTGCTCCTTAGTGGTCTTGACAGCAGTTCCCAGGCTACTTGACTGAATGGAAGGGCCTGTGAGGAGAGGTGAGTTCTGTTTCTCACCCAGAATACTGAAATGCCAAGAGTCCAGTTAGAGTCCATTTTGGTGGTAGAAACTCTCAAACTTTGTTATCTTCGATGGGGTCTTTTCTTCAGTTTTATTTTAAAAATTAGTTCTTCAGGATGCTACTTCTCTTTTCTTTTTAAAATGTTAATTGAATACCTCTGTCAGTTTTGTGCTATTACAACATAATATCACAAACTGGGTTGTCTATCATGAACAGAAATTAAATGATGAATAGATGTAGAGGTTTGGAAGGTGAAATTAAGAGTCAACAAGTGAAAATTTTTGCTTATCACACCATGATAGAAGGGTGAGAAAGAAAAGGGACTCTAGTCTCTATAGTCATCTGTGCCCTAGGATGTTTGCTTAAATCATGCATGGGCATCCTCATAACGAAATTCCCAGATTCCAATACTGCTGAACTAGAGGTTAAGAGTCCAACATATGGTTTTTGAGGATCACTTTTATACCATAGCATTTGGTACCCTAGATTTAGACATCTGCTTATCAGATCCAGTGAGGCTCCCATAGGCATGCAGCTGAAAGAATACTCAAGGTCCTGTAGGTAGAATCTGGCTGAGGATTAAAGTAGCCAGAGTAGAGTCTTTTTCACTGTTATTTAAAATCAGCACATCACATGAATCCATCATTTTCCCCAGTTTGAGGACTTTCGGCAGTGAAACTGTGGCTAAGTTTAGAACTGCATACACTGCCTTCCTCCCATGATTGCCACAGCCTCATCTCTCCCACTGACATTTCTAGTCGCTTTGTCTTCATAGTTGGTATTGTTTCATTTTTGCATTGGCTCTATCCATTGATATAAACACATTAAATATTCTTACTGCCTGCAATGCTTTAGGAGAACAAAGCAAGTTATTCACTTGTACTAGGGTTTGCCAGTTGACAATATATCTTTACATACACTTTCTCATCTAATTTTAATATTAGTTCACTTAGGTCTCCATTTCTTTTTCCATTCATACAGCAGATGCATGCTTGCTTAATCTCTTTCCATAGTGATAAGTTATGAAAGCTTTAACGACGTCATATAATGTTAATAAAAGTGACATGTGTTAAGGTATGTCTGAGTTGGTTGTATATAAAATTTCTTTAATGGAGTTGTGGGCTTTGGGAAACGGGGTTTAAATATTGGACTTACAGGATTGGTAGAGGAAATGTGCATCCAGAAGTGAGCCCAGTGTGCCCAAGACACACAGGCTAGGACACATACCATGTACACAGTGTCTGTGAAGAAGTAGCTTACTGCATCTTGGTTATTCCAGTCCAAATTTAATTATGGACTCCTTAAAATCATAGCACTTGATGTTTTTAGAAATCATTAAAAGACACCTCTTTTATATCAGTTCGAGATAATACTCATACTGAATAGAATTGTTTTTTTTAATCCATCTCATACAAACTTTTTTTTTTTCTTATGTATCCTGTTGCTGGAGTGCAGAATGTAACCATGTTTCCCCTGTACATATATCCTTTGTGATTCTGTTCTGATTTTGTTTTGTGGTTTTGAAAGAAAAATTGTTAATGAAGAAGATAAATCTATTCTTAGTTTTGTTTCTCTGTTTGTAGATGTTCAATATGATCTTTTAAGGAAGAGTTTTGTTAAAAGAGTAGTATTTCTATCAGATTTTTCCAAGCTCTATCTATTTATATCCTTATCTTCTTTGGTACTACATAGTCATTAAACCCAGGGTCTTGCTCATGCAGAGCTCATTCTCCATAGTCAAGCTATACCCCTAGTCCTTGAGTTGTCTTCATGCTTTCATTTAAGTTGCAAAACTTAGCAAGCAATCAATAATGTTCATGTCTTTGTGTTGGGATGCAGGTCAGTAATATAAAGGAAGAGCTTTACATGCCATTGTATTTTTGTTAGAAATTTAGAATTATGCTCTGATGGTTTGGTGGAAACAACAGATTCAAACAGTATCTGTCTAAATGTCTCTGGGAAGTGTTGATGATTCTGAATGTAGATTGTTGCAGCTTTACATGGTTTTATCAATTTCCTAGATGCCTTAGAGACCACAAAGATAGATAATAAAACAGTCATCTTTGCTTGTGTCTGATACAATGCAAAGAATTCTAATCATAAGGAAATGTTAGAGAGAAAGTATATAAATGTAGGATGCTAGGGTTTTGAAGAAACCCATCAATAGCATGGTTTTTGTGCCAGAATTCTAACACAGTTGAGAAATAACATGAAGTAAATGAAAAATAGAGTACCAGTTATACACTAAAAATAGTGACACTGAAGGACATAGCCTAGCTTAGGGTGGACTTGCTAGCTGAACATGGGAGTCAGATCTATTTACCCATTTAATAGAAGGTGTGAGACCACTTTACTCTTCTCCATCTTTTGATAGCCTGTTCCTTTTAAAACAAACGTTCCTCCCTCCCTGTATTGAAGCAAGGGTCTTTGCATGTGTTTTGTAATTTTTCTATGCTTGAGTTATATGCATAGCCTAACCAACATAAACCAAACTACATTTACCATCTGTAGACATCCTGGTTTTATAAATGGAATATTGCAGCTTCTCAGGCCCATTCATTCCACTTTTCTTCCCCGTAATTTTTGACAGTCAAAAGAATACAGTCCTCTTAGAATAGACAAAAGCAGAGAGAAGCTAGGGATTAAAGCAGTTGAATTATTAAAAACAAAAAACAACCCCCTCCCCTGAAAAAACATCCAACCAAACAACCAAACAAAACACCACCAAAATACCCATGATGATGAGGTGGTGATAAAAGCATTTCTTCTAACTTCTAAAGTTATATGCAGTTTTGTATATTCTAATTGCTTTGCAACTAAATCTGCAAGATTGTAATGGTAAATTTTTACTGCCTCAGAATGTGTGAACTTGGCAATTACTTCTTGCACTTTGATCCTTTGATGGTTCAGCTAATTACCAATTAAGAACTGATTAAGGAAAGAATATAAGTCCTGGTTGCCATTGCAAAACCTGCTTTAAGACACGGTAACATCAAGAAATCAGCAAATTTATATTTTGCAAAATATGTACCAGCAGCTTCAAATAAAATCCTGCATGCAATGTGGCACACCCTTTTAGACAGTTGCATTCTTGATAATATAAGATGGCATTTATTGAAAAACATAGATGCTGCCAGATCTGAATCAGTTATTCCGAGGGTTGGAGTGTATATATTGGATAGTTTTAAGAATGACTTGATGAACTTCCTTTTTTTTGTTGTTGTTTTTTTTTTGTTTTTTTGCGAGACAGGGTTTCTCTGTATTATTTTGGAGGCTGTCGGTCCAGCCTGGCCTCGAACTCACAGAGATCTGCCTGCCTCTGCCTCCGAGTGCTGGGATTAAAGGTGTGAGCCACCACTGCTCAGGCAATGAGTTTCTTTTTAATAAAAGTTTTGTGTATATGAGTGTTATTTGAACATATGTCTGTGGGCTACTTGTGTGTATGATGTTCTAGATGGCCAGATGATTCTATTGGATCCTCTGGAATTGGAGTTGCAAATGGTTTTGAGCTCCCCTGTTGGTGCTAGAGATTGAATCCTGGTCCTCTAGAAGCGGCACCCAGTGCTTTTAACCACTGAGCCTTCTTTTGCCCCAAGTTTATTTTTCTTGTATTTACTTATTAAATATACTCAAGGCCAAGTAAGCCTTCTTCTATTATACAATAAAGATCTTAATAAATTACATATTTTAATAACTAAGATCCTTTCTCCCAGTGTTACATAAAATGGCAGTGTGTATTTCAATTCATGTGGTTTTGTCTTGGTGACAACATGGTGAATAGGATTTATATAATTTTTGTAATCTGGAACTCTTTGAATGCCACGTCTTTCTCTGCGTACCCTACCGTCCAAATAAGACACTTGACTAGAGACATGTGTTTTAGCCTCAACCTTGAGTCATTACTTTGGTTATGTCGTTGATTCTTCTTGGACTTTCATTTTTCTCTTTGCTGGGTAATTATGCCATAGATAGTTGAACAGAAAGATTGGATCATACCATTGGGTAACTTAAATGGTAGCCCTTTGCGACAATACAACATGCATACTTTTCCTAGCTGTAAAACTTCCAACTAACTAAATCTCGGTTTTCATTTTTCCTGGAAGGGGGTCCTGATGACAACTTAATTGAAGGTGGAGGAACAAAATTTGTCTGCAAACCTGGAGCCAGAAATATAACTGTTATATTCCATCCATTACTGAGGTAAGTTATCCCCTATGATGTACTTACCCGTGATCAATATTCTCATTATTTATGCTGATGTGCTGAGTGCCAATAAATAGTTCAGCCAGCACGGAGTCAAATCATTAAAAAAAAAGAAACTCGTTTCATTTTGTAAGTTTTCACAGTGAAAGTTAGTCAATAGAACAGATAATGTCAGCCAAGCCTCTCCCTGTTCTCAGGAGTAATAGCTCACAGACACATTAATTTGATTTTCTTTACTTTCTTCTCTAGTCCTGCCCATCTTCTTCCCTCCTCCTCCTCCCCCTCCTTTTTTGGATCTATCTCAGTGGTTGGCAAGCCAAGGCCCACTGGGGACATCAAGCCTGCCATCTGTTTTCATAAACACACATTGCTGACCACAGTCTTGCTCATGTGTCCATGTGCAGCCTTATCCTGCCTCTGTGCTGCCTTCACAGAGATGAAGCATTGCAGCGTAACTCCTGGCCTGCAAGCCTGCATATTCTCTCTGTAGTTCTCCACAAGAAAAACAAATTACTGACCCGTGGTCTTTCTTACTCATTTACACTAATTATTCCTTCATTATCTTCTGAGAATTACCAAGTCCCTGAACAGATGTGATTTATAGAAACCTGAAAGATACTAAGAATAAAATACATGGCTTTGTTTCTCGGAAGGCAAATTGATGGTGAGCAGAATAAGTTCTGTTACATTGTTCACTTCTCAATTATATTGTAGCAAAGAAAATTTCATGACACTTTCACAAAAAATATGCTAAGTCCTAAGTACTTTGAAACAGGCACTTTTCTGCCAGGATTTAAAGGACAATTGCTCAGGAGTTACAAACTTCCCTTTACAATTAGTGGTTTCTAGAAATCTGTGTGCATGACATTGTTTAAACTGTTTATAAAATTATGAAAAGCTGGCCAGGCATTTGGTGGCCCACGCCTTTAATCCTAGCACTTGGGAGGCAGAGGCAGGCAAATCGCTGTGGGTCTATCAACCTAGTTCCAGGACAACCTCCAAAGCAACACAGAGAAACCCTGCCTCAAAAAACTGGGGGAAAAAAATGAAAAGCTAAGATGCTGTTAATACTGTGGTTCATTAAATTACTTTTGCACATACATAAAGTACAAACATTGTACATATTAAGAGGTAATGTGATGTTTTCAAACATGCAAGAATTTTATACTACCATATCAAGTATTGTAGACATTTATCCCTTTTTGGCAAAACCTCATAATCTTTTTGGAAGTATACCTTCTTGTCTGCAGTCCTCCTTCTGCAGACCTGCACACCAGCCCAACACTCTCCTACCTCGCCTCAAGCGGCTGCTCACAGCCTCCTTTTTGCCCATCCCTTCTTTCCCTATTCATCCTGTCGTCTGATAACCAGCACTCTGCTCTTAGGTTGTGTGAGATGACCATTTAGATTCCACAAGAATGCGGTCGTGCAGTTAGATCTGTATCATCACAAATGACAGCATTGAATGGTGTTCCATTGTGTATGTGTGTCACATTTCTTTTATGCAGTCATCAACTAAAGGGTTCTCCAGTTGTTTCCACTTTTCTTTTGGGTATGCACCCGGCATGGGAATTGTTGGATTGTAGCATAGTTCTGTTCTTACACACTCTTTTTCCATAATAGCTATTTTAATTGAACTTTTAGGCAATGAGCATTTAGTAGCTAACATTTTACTGTGAACTTAAAATGCTAGATAAGGGAAATTTCATATCTTATGTTTACCATAGTTTATAGATGGAACTTTGGATTTATATAATACTGCTGTTATCTGTAAAGAACCATTATACACTCACTGTATTTATGTTTAAAGTAACAGAAACTCTTTACAAGGTCTACCTCAGAATAATACTTTAACCCTCTAAAACTCTTGCTGCAAGTAAATTCTCTTAGGAATAATAAGGTTAAGAAAAAAAAGATGATTTAATTGGTTGATATATATTATATATAGTAGGTCAATTATAATGTAAAACTTTTGTACTTAACAATGTTGTCCTTAACACTGGGACTTGGGCAATTCATTTAGTTCATGTTCTGCAATTACAATTGATTTTTTCTTAGTGCTGTTAATTGCTAGGAAAACAGGAGTGCACCTGAATCTTTATAGGCCTCTTCTAATGCTTCTTAGTTGTGCCACAGTGTGAATTGAGTCCTTGTGTGTACATCTATTTTGAGTATGGAAGGAAGCCTGAGAAGGGTAGAACTTAACATATTGTATCAAAAGCTTTTTAGTGCTTGCTAAAGAGCAGGATTCTTACTTGTGTTACCCATTCCATTTGTATTTTAATTCTACGCTTTGTTAATGTTGACAAGAGCTGAAGGTTTGTCACATGATACAGTTCACCATTAGTTGTGTCTTTGTGTTTTGCTTAATGTCAGTAGCAAGAAAACTGTGGCTTGCAAGGTTATTTAATTCTTTGTTAATCATGTGACAAGGACAGGCTTTACATTAGCCCTTACCTTGTTCTGTAATGCACTGCTAAGTTTCAGTTACTATCTAATAATGGACTAATAGAACCTCAAATGTCTAAGCCCATTAGTTGTTATCCTCCAACATCTTCTTAGTCTCCATATTTCTTCTTAACTTTGTAATTAGGAGAATCAACATGTTCATAGTTTATTTCTACACATTGATTTTTATTATGAGCTAACTCTTTACAAGTAGTTATAGTAATAGACTATTATTTTATTACATTGCTATATTATTAATTATGTTATAGTAATATTAGTAGACTGTTCAAACATATCTTCTTATTAGAAGGGAATATGGCAAAATGAGACAGGCAGATTAGAAGAAAGTAAAGATGTTGTGGGGTGGAGACTTGAAATTTAAAGTGAAACCGTCACATGGTATTTTGGCTCCTGTCTAGGCTCTTTCATTCGCTTTTGTCAACAGTTTTTTTCTGGACTCTGCTATTCTGGGAAGATTCTCCTTAGATCAAATGACTCATGTGCCTGACTCATCTCAAACCTTTTGTTTTTGCTTATAACTTGCTTTGTGATTATGGGGTGCAGGAGTAACTTTCCTGACAAGACATTCATCATGAGTTCATTAGTAGCAACTAACATTGGTGTTAATAGACTGCGTGAGCTTCCTTGTATCTTTTACCGAGCTCAAATATTTTCCTCATTGGGAAACAGATTTTCCTCTGGCTTTTCCCCCTGTCTAGCATCAGTGGTGCTCTGTCTTCCTGAAACTTTGCATATAGCTTTGTACACTTCATTTATGCACAAAGCAGTTTGGTAATTTTTGTTCAGCTGGCAGTGCATTCTTCAGTGCCTAGGGGCTTTTCTATATTGGAAACTGAACTGCCCTTCTAAGAGCACTGCGGAGTTGATTCCCGTTACTTTGTTTGATGTGTTCTCAGAAGTCATTTGTACTTCCCTCTCATAAAATTATTCTACAAGGTCTTCCATTCTGGTAACCTTGTAGTCTCATTTTCGTACTCTCCTCATAACCAGGGCAGCCTTGTCACTAGGAAATCACATTGGACGTTGGAGGCAAATGTACTGGCTTCCAATTGTTCACCCCATTAACTCGCTTGGCCCCTTTATGTTTAGTTAATAATTTTCTTTACTGTTTTCTTTTATCTTAAAAAGATGGAGGATAGAATCTTCTTACTTGCTTTGGTTTAGACTTCCTAGAAATTGTAAGCCATTGAACCTCCATTGAAAGCTTGCAACAAGAAGATGTCATTTATTCAATTTTTCCACCTGTTGATCTAAATGAGAAACAGCATATTGAAACAAATTTTATATCAGCCAAATTACAGTGAGTTTTAGTTATTTTGATTTCTGCATTTTTATGACCATGACTGGGCAATGCCTTTATATTTCTGGAATTCGAGGGTCTTATACATGAAAAATTAAAAGTTGAAATGACAAGTGAATTTTACAATGTGTAATTTCTTTTGCTTGGTTTTGTTTGTTTATTATTATTATTATTATTTTACAAAATCTGAATTGGGAAGGGCTTTGTGAGAGTATGGCTCTTAGTCAGACCCAGTGATATAGTTAGAGAATCAGCCTGAATATCTGAGGGAAGAAGCCCTGGCCAGAAGAAATGCAGTGAAAATGAAAGGTGACTCCAAGACCCGAGGGCTTGCTGGAGGCCCTGGTGCATTCTCCAGTGGTCCCTGCTGGAGGCCGTGGTGTATTCCCCAGTGGTACTCAAAGTAGTTAGAATATACATGTTTTCCTTTTGCTTGAATAAGGAGGGCAATATATTTATACTAAAAAAATTATAGACACTACATTTGTAATCCCCAAAGGCATAGAAAGTATAGATAAATTCTGATAATACTGGCATTCAGTGTAGAAGTGTAGAAGAACTCTTTTGAAGGACAAGGTTAGTATAGTCATGACTGAACTTATAGATTATATGAAGATTAATTAGATATTGAATTTTATGATGGCAATAGAAAAAAATGCTTGATGTCAAACACAGAGATTATGCCATAGCAGCAAAGCTAGCAGTCGAGTGGGTAAAGACCATGAGTTAGGAAGAGAGAATAAAGCACATAGAGAAATTCTGGGGCATGTTTAGCTATAAGCTTTACTCACATAAAGCTATCTCTTTTGAGGGGAGTTGGTGGGACAAATTTCAGGACATTGTACCACCATTTGAGCTGAAATAGTAGTAAGTTAACTACTTTGCCTGTTGCTGTCATAAGACTATTTGACAAAAGCAAAGTAAGCCAGGATGGATTTGTTTGGGCGCATAGTGTGAGAGTATAGTCCATCATGGCAGGGAAGTGGTGACTGAGAAAGGCCTCGCCAAGAAATTTGAGACACGTGGACCGTTGTATCCACATGTAATGAGGAAAGGGAAATGGACTTGGAACTTAGCTCATCTGTTCCATTTTATTCAGTGTAGGATCCCAGTTTTATTATTACTATTATTGTTGTTGTTGTTATTATTATTATATATAAACCCCAGGTATGTTGAATTTTCCAATCTCAATTGAACTAATATAGATAATTCCTCACAGGCGTGTCCA